AAAGATTTAAAGCCTCAAATCTCTAGACATTATTCTAGGGCCCCCCCCTAAATAATGTCAGAAAGCTGCTTGCTGGACTACCCCCTTTGCTTGAATGATTTGTTTTGTTTTTCAATACTTTTAAAAAAGGGATTTTATAAAGAAAGTGCGCACTGACTTTTGGAAAGCAAATCTCCAAGTTTTCAATAGAAATCTCCATCCAAAAGCCTCCAAAAGCATCAAATCTCAATGGAAATCTCCAAATTTTCAATAGACATCTCCATCCAAAAGCCTCCAAAAGCATCAAATCTCAATGGAAATCTCCAAATTTTCAATAGAAATCTCCATCCAAAAGCCTCCAAAAGAATCAAATCTCAATGGAAATCTTCAAATGTTTAATGGAAATCTCAATCCAAAAGCCTGTAAGATAAGCAAATCCCAGCAAATTCAAAAGGGAAAAAGTAAACTATAACAATAAAAAAACATCCACTACAACTACCCCTCCAAAAAAAGAAAGACATTATTCTAGGGGCCTTTATTAATCTGTGCAGGAAAAAACAAGACATTATTCTAGGGGGCTTTATTAATCACAGGTCTACATTACCATGTGTCGATGAGGCTTCCCCTGAACAGAAGGCTGAAGAAGCACTTGGGCACACTTTCCCGGTGGAGGGCGTGGCATCATGGTGGGGGACCACTTCCTTCGCTTCACATTCACAGCGTACTCCGAGGAGCAATCATGCACATCACATCAATTCCTTTTTGCTTGCCTTCACACTTGCACCCTGTCGTTCTTTTCAAAAACCTTCAGACCATCCAAGTCGGCGCGCAAGTCAAATTTGTCAAAGCAAACGAAAAAAACATAATTACGAAAGCCAGCCGATAGGCTAGGCTGGAGTTGTCGATGGGCGAACGCAGTGAGTATAGGGTGTGGGGGTGGTTTCATAGCCGGCCCACCCAGGGTAGGGCAAACCCAGATCCTGGTGAATGTGGTGGGGGAGAGCGAAAAAATAGAGGCGGTATGAGGCGGTCAAGAAAGTACTGAACATGTATGGCTTTTGGGTGTTGTGATGCGAGTGATTTGATTGATGCGAATAGTGCATCATTAGCATCAGGAGGCGCCCAGGGGGGCTAGGACAGGAAAGGGGGGCACGTTCTTAAGAGTGGAAGGGAACACAAGAAGCGATGCCACCCGTAGAGGACGGGAGAGGGAATAGAATGCAGTCAGCAACCCTTGAGTTGCTTGGGGGTGCCCCTTTTTAATGTTAACTGGATGAAAAAGGCCACCCCTCAGAGCTCGAAGTGTATCCTCTGCCCAGTAACAGTGGATGGGAGTTGATCCGGCGTAGCGTATATTGGCTCTAGCAGATCTAGCTTCAGAGTGAGATATGGGTCTCTCAGCCATCTGTTGTCTCATGGCTGACAAGTGTGGAAGGGAACACAAGAAGCAATGTCACCCGTAGAGGCTTGGAGGCCAAAAAAGGATGAAGTCAGCAACCTTTGAGTTGCTTGGGGGTGCCCCTTTTTGTGGTGAAGAGGGCTGTTGATTGGATGAAAAAGGGTACCCCTCAGAGCTTTAGATGTCCAAGGGAGATGGGAATTGGTACGGACCGAAGTCTATCCTACGCCTATGCCCAGTAACAGTGGATGGGAGTTGATCCAGGCGTAGCGTAACGTATCGGCTCTAGCAGATCCAGCTGCATGTGCGTCTCTCAGCCCTATGTTTTCTCGTTGCTAATAAGAGTGGAAGGGAAGACAAGAAACGATGTCGCCCGCAGAGGACAGGAAACAACATAGAATGTCTAAGGGGGTCGGAGTGTTGCACGAATGGTAGTCTATCCAATTACCGGTAATGGTGGATGGGAGTTGCTCCAGGCAGGCGTTGTGTCTATCGGCTCTATCAGATCGAGCTTCAATGCGAAACTCTTTGTCTGTCAGTCTTTGGTTGTCCGCGGCCCGAAAGAGTAGAAGTCGTTGCAAATTCAACGCGCTCGACGACGACAGGATCTTATTTCTCAAATTTACACGCGTGGACCCCATACAGTTTGTGCCTTTATGAAGTAAGCCAGAGACGAACTGTCAAACAGTCAACGGCTCAAACGGCTCCAGCTCAATTCAGACGAAAACAGAACATACGCTAGCCTAATGAATATGCTGAGTTGTACTGACATGTGGCTTTATCATGCTGTGTTGGGATAAAAGATGTTTCAAGCTTTCAACCACAAGTGAGGACCCGGCCAAGGCCAAGAGTATGCAATGAGGAGACATCTGGTGTTTATACAGCCTATCGTATCGAACCTCAATGCGAGACTTTGCGCCTCTCTTCCTTCTATCCCCCCATGCCTCACAGCAGTTGACGTGCGCTGTCGACTTCACCCCATAAACCACATTGATGTCTTCTTACGGAGGCTGGATTTCGTCCCCTCCGTTCTCAGGTCATATATATAGGGAAAAAATTTTTGAAGGTCACTTGATGCACTCAGGCCTGAAAAAACCACTGCACCTCACTCGGAATGTTCTTTCGCAGCCTCGCAAGCGGAGCAGCTGGCTTAGCGCGAAGTCCTGTTGTGATACCCCTGTGCCGGAAAAAGGGGGCAACAAGTGGAGTGCAAAGTCAAGAGTGGTAAGGGTACTTACGCTTTGCTTTGTCCAAGTAATTCGAAGTGGCATCAACTTTTGCGCCGTGCTTAGCTGCCATATGCCTATGGCCTTTCATTTCTGCTCCTACTGTGTGAGATGGGGGAAGCAACCGTTTAGGTCTCCGAACTTGATGCTCTGAACAAATTTATGTTGGCCATCCAGTGGCTGTGTTGGTTGATTTCCACCCACCCAGATGCGGCCTCACCTTCCAAAGTGTTTCACTTGGATTTCGACCACAATACTTGAGCGCGCGGAAACGCTTCGAATTTTGCTCGGCCGCTATGCTAGGACCACCTGTCGCTGGGGATGCCCCTAGATCACAGGTTGGCAGATGGGGACCATCAGTGTTCAAGCTTTGGCTCCAATCACACTCCAAGTGCTGGGCGAACACCTGAGCCATGACACGTTGACCAACTTGAGCAATTTCACCATGCAGATAGCGCTTGTTGTACAGGCCAGTGCGTCTCAATACCGAACGAAGTTCTGCTGCCCGAGCTTGGGGTGCAGTGCACTTTGTAGGAGGAGAGGAGTACGAACGTCTGCCATTCTCCACAGGCCCTTCACCCGGTCTGTTCGTGCCGGATTGTCCTCAGCCCAAGTCACATTGCCAGAGTGTTCCTTCTTGCAGGACTAAGTGACTGAGTCATGAGGGTATTGAGGAGAATGGGGAGAGAGTTCTCCAAAGCTGTTCTGTTCTTTTGTATTGGTGGGTTGACTGAGGTTGCTTGAGTGGCCGGGTGGGCTTGGATACGGCCAGGTCAATGACCTATTGTACCCAATGTTTTTTTGATTGTTGTTGATTTTGAGTTTATCATTAATGAGACTGCAGACCGCCTGGGGAATGAATGCTGTTCTGGTCCTTGGCAGATGGTCGGGGCAGGAATCACAAACTTGCCTATGTCATGTGGTGTCGCAGCTGGAGTCCGTTTCTGAAGAATACGTATTTGTTGCTGGTGTAGGCTCCACACGCAGAGATACCCCCCCAAATTGTCAGACCAGTAGTTCAGCAGCAAGGCTACCCAAATGGAATGTATTGAACATATTTAGTGCTTTTATGTTTGCTTTTGTGAAGAGTGCGGGTGTGCCAGGTGGTTTTCAACGACAAGAACGTTTGGGCCAACCGACAAAACCACCACCCAGCTTGCATTACCTATGTGCCCTTGCTGCAATTTGCTGGGGGCACAAGGCTAACAGGACTTGATTTTGATGCGTTGTGCTGGTTTGGCAACTATTCCGTTCAGGATCGTCCTGGTAGCACACACTCTGACATTGGTTTGCAGTTACACTCAATTTCCCGATGGGAAGAAAGGCGAAGAACCGCAAGGTGGAAAAGTCGGCGCAAATGTATTGTCGAACATTGTTCACAGAAGCACTCATACGTTCAAAGCGGCGGCAAAAACGATCAATCCGGCGGCGCAGCTGCTGGGAAGAGTAGGTTTGTGGGAGGTATCATGAACCACCATGAAAACAAAAAGGAAACTTGGACAGCGTGATCAACAGTTTCTTGGCAGGTACACAGTCAGACGTCTCTGACCGCATCCCATGACATCACTAGCTTCGTTGGCCAGCGTCGTGATGTCATGCGCTGGCCCCCTGCCTCGTTGAGTGGCTGCAGTGAAGAACAGTGGCATTGAACCCTTTGGCACAGGGGGTGACACACACAGGTCGCCGTGATCGGCGCTTTTGCCTTTCAAAAACCGGCTGAGTCGTGTCCTTTTTGGACGTAGAGTTTAACAAGCTCCGTGGCAGCAGCATCAGCGCTCGAAGGTGGAAAGGTGTATTTGTGGATTGTGTGAAGTCTTGAGTGGAGCCCAGACAGAGCCAAGCGCTGGCTCCCGGCGCTGGTTGCATCCCTGATTTTCCAGCGTTGTAGAGGTTGAATGTAGGTGATGGTACGTTGTTGTAGGTCAATGTTGAAACCCAGAAGGTGAAAATCGTCCACTGGCTCAAGTTCCACTGGGTCACCAAAGAAGTTGTGATGGATAAGGGTTTGAATGGCGGGGTGTTGGAGGAAGTGTTCGTTGTGGACGATGAGTCTGTTGTCAACATATCGGTAGTATGCAAAGTGTAGGTCGGTGTGTTGGAGGAAGTTGTTGTGGATCTGGTGCCAGGAGTGTTCGATGAGAGTGACGGCTACGTTGCAAAGGGCAGGAGAGAGTTGGGATCCAATCCCAGCTCCTCGGACTTGCTTGTAAGTGTTGTTGCATGCCCGGAAAATGCAGGTGTCGAGCGCATAGGCGACAACGGTGGTGATGTCGGAGGTCTGGATGGTGCGTTGTGTGGGGTGTTTGTGGTGATGCCGGCCGATGTGGGAATGGTGGAATGGGTGGCCGGTTGCGTGGATGTCAATGGTGAGGGTGTGTGTGGATTGTTGTGCTTGCCAGTGTTGAACCATGGAGTGGACCGCGTCGATGAGGCGGTGCTGGGGAACCGAGTTGAAGAAGCCGACCGGATCATCGTTGGTGGCATATAGTGAGATGTCTGCGGGGGTTTGGGTGAGATAGCAGTGGAAATGGCGCCAGAGTTGTGGGATGGAAAGTTGGCCTGGATGTTGTGGGTAGAGGTGTTGGAGAATGATGTCCAAGGCACGGCTGGTGATGCGTAGGAGGTTGCCGCTGAGTGAGTGGAAATAGGAGATGATGGCGCGGCCTTTCTGCCAGTGCTTCTTCTCCTTGAGATGGACAACTCCATATGGAATGTTGAAATCTTTGCGGAAGCCCCATTTGTATCGGGTGCGTAGGATGGAGGGTACAGTGGCTTTGAGGTGGTCGTGGATGTTGGCGGCTGTCAGGTATGGAAGTGGTGCAAAAATGTTCAGGAGATTGCCATGTGTTGAGGGCTCCGGTAAAGTATTGGCGAGGGCAGAAAACACGGAGCTGTTGTAGTTCGTGATCAGCATGGTGAAGTACGGTGTGTGGGCCGAGATATTCCTGAAGCTGTCGAAGTAGGCGAGCAGTGAATCTGGGATGTTGTTTTAAATGGGTGTTGCGAAGGCGCCATTGGTGCTCGAGGAAAGGTTGCAAATGTTGCGTGAGGGTTGGTGGAAGCCCCTGGAGCTTAAGCCATTTTGTGTAAGCCGTTTGAAATGTAAGGAAGTAACGCGCCTTGCTGGGATAGTAGGTGCTGTTCATGTTGGCGCTGAGAAAGATGTTGAGGTGTGGTGGGAGATGGAGCTGGTCGAGTGTGAGAATCTGGATCGTGGAGGAGGCTGCGAAGGTGGGCGCAGGCGCAAGGTAGGTCTGCTGGATCTGGTGGCGATTGCAGAGTTTCTTCCATGTGCGGTGGTTGTGGAGTTGGGATCGAAGGGTCTTGTGGGCTGCTTCCCGTAGGCGGTGAGATGGGAGGTGGAGAGGAATGGCCAAATGCTTGTGCTGCTGGATGGTGGTACGGAGCCACTGTTGGCAATGTTTGGTGAAGTCTTGGTGTGCTGGGAAAGGCGCAGTGAGAGGGATGTTGGGCTTGGGTGGTGTAAGATTGCGGAAAAGCAGGGCTTTGTTGATGATGTGGAGTGCCCTGCTGCGGCCTGGTTCTTCCAGATTGGCGGCCATGCGCCTGATGGCGTATACTTCTAGGTCTGTGTGACGACCGCTGCGCAGTTGTTTGGCTGCTTCAAAGGAGGCTGTGTGTTTGGTAAGGTCGCGGAGTAGCGTGAGAGCATGGTGTTTTGTGGAAGTGTAAAGGTGTGGTTCTTTAAGTGTCTGTTGGCGGAGGCGGAGTCGTCGAAAGAGGCGTTTGTGAGTGGCCAGTCGGGAGTAGAAGTGGGCTCGATGCTTGGTGAATTGCCACCCTTGGGCTTTGAGCTTGAGATGGTGTGAGATGAAGGGCCAATTGAGTGTGGGCATCCAGTTGGCAATGTGGTGATGTTCGTGGATCCAGGCCTGATCATAGGTCTCATGGGATGTAGGCTGAATGGTGGTGTAGTGGTGGATGTTGTTGTGAGAATGCCAATATCGTAGGGAGAGTTCTGCTGATACGGGAATGTTGTTTTGGAGTTGCTTGAGTTTGGCTTTGCGGTTGTGTTCGCTGTGGGGAATGCCAATGGCCGTGGAGCCGATGTAAAAGTGGCCATGTTGGTGGTAACAGCGATGTGGTGGGGTGGGGTTGAAGTAGAGTTTGATGTAGACTGAGTTGTGGGAGAGAAAGTTGTGGTAGTGGTAGGTGTGTGGAAGAATGTGAAGCTGGCGGAAGCGGTTGCGCCACTGTTGGGTTCGGTGTGTGTTGACGGATATGAGAAGAGGAGGGTGAGGTGGATGAGGCCTGTCGTGAAGATGGCCTCTGCTCGTTCAATGTATTGGGTGTAGTGAATCAAAATTGATAAGGCGCGGTGAAGGTGGAAAAGATGTTGCATGGTGGTATGGCTGGGCTGCTGCTGGCTGAGAAAGCATAGTCAGCAGCCAATGGCTGCACCAACACTGACGAGGTGTTGGAGACTGCGGATGGGCAGGCGGTTGACGCGGCCCAGAGGAAGGCCATAGCGAGTGGCTGCTTCCTTCAGTTGTTGTGTGGTGACCTTGCTGGTTTGGAGAAGGCGTAGAATTTCATTGGCAGACTCCTGGACTGCGGGGTCAAACGTAGTGACCCATTGCTGGATGTCAGTGGTGGTCCAGGTTTCAGGGACGTCATCCTTGAGGGAAGGGTGCGGAGGCTGCAGGACGTCGGCCAGGACAGGTGGTTTGCGTGCTGGCGGCGGGGGGGTTGTTGTGGGCGGATGGGATGCATCTGCGGCGCTGGAGGAGTGACTAGTGCCTTTCGTGGGGGTGAATGGAACTCCCAAGTTGTGGAGCTTCTGTTTTGCGCGGGCAAGCTCATCGGTGGCGGATTTGAGTGCCTGTGCCTTCTGCTGGGGCTGGTGAATGTGATTGGAGTTGTTGGATGAGGAGGTTGATCAAAGGGGCGTGGAAGGCACGTGCCTGCGTTGTCTTGCCGGGGATGTCGTTGCCTTGTGAGGCGTGGAGGGTCTCAGCTATGGCGTCCAGGTCGAGGCGCTTTTCCCGGATTTCTTGGAGGAGATGTGTGACAAAGACCGATTCGGCCACGCTCCTGGTAGCGATGAAACCGCAGTACTTCCCGTGACTCAAAGTGCGGGCGGTCGGTAGTGGGTAGCGTCTGATGGGTGGAATGTGGATTGGCTGTCCTGGTTGTAAGCCGCTGGGTGCTGAAAAGGCTCCGTGAGGAAGGTGCTGTGGGTCAGAGGTGGACAAGTTGGGGTCTGTGAAGTAGGCAGCTGGTGGGAAGCGAGCCAAACTGTCGATTGCGTTGAGCTCGCTGCAGGTTGCTGTGGTAGATGGCAATGATACGTTGGATGGGTTGCGGTAGGGTGTCGGTGAGAGGCTGATGGCCAATGGGAGTTTCAGAGAGTGCTGTGTGTGTGTGGCAAGATGTTGATGTAGAAGAAAGCGGTGTATGTGGAGATCGGTCAATACTCCCATCAAGGCGTGAGGTGGGTCAAGCGTATAGACCCCAGACCAAAAGGCTTGGTCGGCTGATTCTGTGAGGTGTGGTGGTGTTGGAGCAGTTGGAGGTGGGGAGGTCGCAGGCGGTGACTGGTTGTCTGCTGCATCTTCTGTGAAGACGAAGAGAACTTCCGATTGCTCGTCGCAGTCCGGAGTATGGTCCATCGTGGGCCCGTTGATGTGCGAAGTCTCGATGAATGGGGCGAAAGAAAAACGGATAGCAAGAAAGCTGAAAGCTGAAAATGGCTGCGGTGTTGGAGAAAAGGATATCGATGATGTCAGGTAATGTGTTGGAGAGCTGAATTATGACAAAACAACAGTGTTGTACTTTTTGCTTGTTGGACGGTGGTGAGTCGGTATGTCGAGCGATGGTGAAACATGGAGTGGTGAGACAGCGGCGCGTGGACATGCAGTCAGCAGCGAGCCATATTGACAGCAGCAGCGGCCGCAGCTTGTCGGGCAATGCGTAGTATGGCTTCTTGAAGGGTGGCTGCTTGTTGATCAGTCAGTAGGTGGTACTGGTGGGAACACAGTTCCGGTGGTGGCGGGTGGGCTTGACGGATAGGCTGGCTGTGGAGCTGGACATGGCGGTAAAGTGTTGGGTGCGAGAGGTGGTTGACGTGTGCGGTGTATGGTGGGGTTGAGGTAGTGGTGTATCTCACTGGAAAAGTTGAAGGGCAGAATGTGCCCATTGTGTCTGG